GACATATTTTTTGTGACAATAATTAATTAGATACCTAATTTAAATAAATAATGAATAAGTTAGTATGTACCGTATGTGTTATGGTAGTTCATGCTAAACTTAACAATAGATAGATTTATTCTGAATGTCATACCGTACATTTGCTATTAATAGAAAATGCACCTGACTTGACTTATACCATAGATAAAACATACTCCCTTAGTAGATTTCCCATCCTTATGGAACAGCTGAAGCCAATTTTACTGTTAGTTCTGTCTGGTGTACTGTAGAGTCGTGTCTTGTTTACAATCTGTTTCTTGCTATTCCAGTAATTTAAAACCTCGTTTAACCAAATAAAACTATCTAATCATAAACAATAACTTGTCCATTAGCTATATAACCAAACAGTGAGGCACAAATCATGAGAAACTAACCCTACAGTAATAGAAACAAATTGTAAACAAAACGCGACATCTACAGTAAACCGGACAGAACTAATAATAAAATTGGCTTCAGCTGTTCCATAAGGATGGGAAATCTAATAAGGAGTATGTTTTATCCATGCTTATACTTACAGGCTTATAACGGCTACAATAGATTTTTTTTTAGATAGTGATAGATTACTAAATATTTAACAAGACATTGAGAATTGACCACAATAGACATTTTTAACACAGCCATAGTTTAATACATGCAATTGTTTGAACAAGACAAAGAAAACATTGAGAAAGTGTCTCACATCAACTAATTACATGTCTCCAGTGATCTAGGATTTCCACAACTCATGTACAGTAGGTATCTAAAGTATTAAGTATTAGTATTTTTTACCTATGGCTAGAATTGAAGAAGTCCACTTGTGGTACAACTATATACCGGTCTTTGGATGCGAACCATAGTTAAGTTCTGTGTATAGTTTGTACTGGACTGGAGTGCTGTCTACCAAAGAGGTCCCTGGATCTAATTGCTTTAGGTACGTGGCAGTTTATCCTACCGAGCAGTTCACTACAATCCACCAGTCCATTTAAGAGCTTGTATAGGAACACTAAATCCTGAGTTTCACGTCTGGATAACAAAGTTGGTAGGTTCATCTGAACAGGCAAGACATCCAAGGGAACTTCCATGAAGGCAAAACCAAGTCTGAGTCCAGCCAATCGTAAAAATCTATTCTGGATCTTCTGGAGGCTATCACCAAGGGTAGACTGATGAGGTGCCCAGACTACAGATGAGTATTCCAGCAAAGACCTTACATTGCAGCAGTAGTGAGTTCTGAGTATCTGAAGTTGGGAAAGAAGTCTCGATGAGCGTTCCAGGAGTCCCAACGCTCGGTTAGCCTGTAGGCAAATACTGCTGACATGTGCTTTGGCACTGGGGATGGCATCCATACAACTCCAAGATCCCTAATTGTCAAGGGCCTTTCCAGGGTAGTACCATTTACAATCTGCGAATAGTAAACAGTTCGTCTTGATGCAGTGAACTGAGCCATTGATAAAGACGCAAAACAATGTAGGTCCCAAAATTGAGCCTTGTGGCACACCGGAAATCCCAAAGAAAGGATCAGAGAGTGCTGAAGCAAATTTCACCCTTGGACACCTATTACTCAGATAGCTGGAAAACTACTGATGTAGACTTCCGTTAACACCATAAGCCGATAGTTTGTTGTCCAGCAGGCGCTGATGACACACCATGTCGAAAGCCTTTGAAAAATCTAAATAAAGGACATCGACCTGTTACTTTCTACCAAAAGCATCCACTAAGTAGTTTTGTAGAGAAATAAGGTTTGTAGAAGTAGACCAGCCACAGACAAATCCATGCTAATTTGGAGCCAATTGTTTCCACAAGAATGGTCCCACATTCCTCAACACCACCCTTTCAAAAATCTTGGCAAGTCATGACTGTATTGCAATCGGTCTATAGTTAGTCACGTCATCAGTTGGTCCAGTTTTGTGAATGGGTATGATGTAACTATTTTTAAGTTTAGAAGGGTATCAACTCAATCTAAAAGATCTATTAAAAAGGCCAACCAAGTGACTGGACAAAACAGGACTATAGTATCTCAATACTAATGGCAGGATTGAGTCAGGTCCACATCCTTTTGTGACATCTAGAGAGTTTAGGGCATATTGCACCTCCTGAAGTGTGACTTAACAAGTTGATAGAGCATCAGAGAAGTTGAAGCTTAGCTTACCTGACAGATAACGAGGATCTGAAGGTGTAAGCACCGAGTTAAAGAAATCAGCAAAGTACTGGCACATAACAGTAGGTTTGGTTGTATCGTTATCTTCATACATCATTCTCGAAGGGTGTGGACCAGCCCTTCTTGTGTTTTTGAAAAAATTCCAGAAAATCTTTGGATTAAAGGGTAAAACATTTTGTACATAAGTAACATTAGTCTGGAAACAGTGTTTTGACATATCTTTACACTTCTTACGAACACATGAAAATTCAAAGTAATCTTGAGGTTTTTAAGTTTGCTTATACTTCTTGTGTAACCTCTTCTTGAGTATCACCAACTCCTTCATTTCTTTATCAAACCACAACGGAAACTTACGGTATATGAGCTGATTCTTCTTGTAGGGGTGTTATAGCTAGAACTATACCACGGTCTTTAGTGATGAGTAAAGAGAATGATTAATTTACATCGCCTTCAAATTCAGGGTAGGATAAGGACTGAACTCCGGAAAAAATTGCATCCACATTACATTTCTTAAAATCTGGTTTATAAAGGGCCTGTGGATGCTGTATTAGGTACTGAGGAATAAATATTAAGGGCTGGGTGGTGCTGGTCAGCTACTACTACAGGGTCAGTGTCCTTATACACGTAGGCCTCCGATAATGATGAAAAGACTAGGTCGAGCAAAGCATCATTACTGTTTCACACTGTATTGATTTGTTCACGAGATAGTAAGTGGTCTCATGTAATACAGAGGATGCTTTAGAAGGTAAGAAGGGAGTTGTTGAGCACCAGTCAACTCCAGGCAGATTAAAATCCCCTAACAGAAGAGTGTGAGAATCCATACCAGATAGTGTCACAGCTTCCTCTAATATACTGCAATACTTTTGGTACGTACTAAAGGGTTAAGCTGGCAGTACATACGTGCCATTAAGGAGAACTTTGAAACCATGACCTAGAGACAGCTCTGCACAAACACTTTCAAGTGTATTATCAGGAATATTAATCTAATGTGACGGAATAGAGCTGTCAATTGGCACCAAGACACCACCACCACTCACTTGATCCATCTTTTCTATATATTGAGTGGCTCAGGAGACCAAGTTCATTATCAGATATGTCTGGAGAAAAATTTGTTTCTGTTAATATCATAATGTCATGAACAGATTGTGAGAACAAATTTCTCAACTCATTAAGTTTTGTTCTGAGTCTGTTGACAATCTGATAATAGATGCTTATTTTGATCCCCTGAGTGAACTACATAGTTTTTTGGGGCCGTCTGGAACATTTTTGGCTTGTTATTGATGTATTTAATAGTTAAACCATTTTCTCCATCTTTGGTTCTGGTTTCTAATTCCTTTCTCAGTTCACTCAGATAATGCCTCTCCTTCAATGTCCTGTCTCGAGCAATAGATATATAATGATATATCTATTGCTCGAGACAGGCTTCATCCACCTTAGCTATATTTTCAGGTGAAAACTTGTTTCGTAAGTCCAAGGCGTATTCCTGAGTTTTAAATACAATTTTAAGAGGGCGGCAGTCATTTCCAGATTTTCCTATTCTGAAGTACGGTATGTGACTTAATTGGGTAGCGTCATCTTTAGGGCTGTATACATTTTATTTATTACATTTAGATCATAATTTTTCTTATCATTGGGAAGCGTTTTTGTACTTTCAGGTACATTGTGTAGAATGACGTTACGGAGCCTTCGTGAGCGATCAGTGATCTCAGCAATGAAATCTTCTTCATTGTTTATAGCTGGGGTTTCCATCAATTTCTGCACGTCGGCCTGGACTTTATAAATTTTTTCTTCTGCTGTAGTTAAACGAGGCTCAAAATCGGACAGTTTATCTGTCAGTTCCACAACCTTTTGACTTAGTTGAGAGATACCATCTGTGACTTCTTTAAATTCATCCTTGGTTGCCAAGGCAGACATTTTATCCAATATAAGTGACATCTTATTTGATAGGTTGGTTAGTGTACAAGGAGTTTCAGGCTTACAAAGTTATATAGGTTGTTCTTTATGTTAATGACTGCTTTAAGTCCTTTGAAGGTAGGTTAGATTACTTAGGCATAGACTAAAGAATTAAATATAGACTGACAGATGTGCTGCAGTTAGTATGGATTCTGGCATCCACCGCTTGGAGTGCCTTGTAGTTTCGGCACATGCAGTAACATGTGACGGGTAAGCCAGTTAATATATATATATATATATATATATACGTACGTGAACGCTATAACTTGTAAGCCAGCATGATTAAATCATGGGAATGGGGTTTTATTGGGTAAATATGGGTTTTTTCTCATTTTTGACCTTCAAAACATAAAAATTACCAATTTCTCTTCAAACCATTCTAAAAGAGCTTCAAAAACAAATAATTTGGTATATTTAAGTTTTTTTACAGTTATTGGTTGCAGAGAAAATTAAAAAAAAATTTATTCCCATGTTTTTCCCACGGAAAATAAGTAAACTGTTGTAGTTTGCTTGTTAATGGATATTTTGATCAAACTTGACAAATTTATTTATTTTATACTAAGTTATTATTATTTTACTAAAAACACACTTCATTACCCTCCCTGTAGCAGAAAACCTACGTACTATTTAAATCAAATGTTATCTGAAAATATTTGATTGAAAATCCAATCAGGTAAATGTAAATTCACTTAGTCTGCAGGTTTGTTACGGCGGGGGTATTTTGTTCCTATAGGGTAAGTTTTATGTTATCTTTAACAGGGTATTAATTATCTATGGTCCCAAACATGTAGATAACTAACTTATCTCACCTCTTTCTTGAATTTAGAATAAAAATACTTCAATCTGTTATTTTTACCATGTTGTACTTTACCAGCTGATGTGCAATTGATGGAGAAAGGTATGCCGAACGTCAATCTTGTGTATGGCACTCATGTGACGGACAATGACCCTCGCTTACATCCGGTTCTCATTGTTGGCCAACTCAAGAACCTTAACCGGATCAAGTTTGATGATATCAAGTGTAAACTTGGTGGCCGGGTGACTGTAGAGGTTAGTTTACTGCTTCTTAATATTAGGACAATAAAGAATGAAATTGTTAATTTTGTCACTATGTAATCTAGGCTATTTTAGTATTCGGTTTTATTAGACATGATCTAAATGGGATTAGCTTACAACACTTATATAGGTTAATGTAGTTAGAACTGGTGTAATACATCTTTAAAGTATTGAGAAAAATAAAATAATATAAGAAAAATATAAGTATTGAAAAAATAAAGTTTATGGTTTTTGGTTGAGTGCAGGAAGAAGCAAGAGACAGACAATTTTAAAAACTTAGGCCTAAGTGAATACTTGAATGCATATGTGTATACATAATTTTATTGCTAGAAGAATAGTTTAACACTTTAATTCAATGCCCAGGACTACCAGTTAGCTGTGAAACGGTTTTCCGGATCTCACAATGACCCTGTCAACTTATACCTGAACTATGCAACGATCGCACCTCTGCCAGACCAGGCGTCACGCCACAACGCCCCTGCACGACCCCATGCACTCACCAAGGTCGTAAAGTCTGAGACCTTTGACATTGATGGCGAGAGCATTGTGGTAAGTAGGCTAACTTACTCTTAAAACAACAATCTGGCAATGTGTAATCTTAATACACCGGAACCTCAATAACAAGACTCTCATGGAGATTATTAAATAAGACTTTTTAACAAGGTTAACTTCTTATCGAGGTTTTGAATGAGATAAATTAGTGGTAAAATAAATTCTGAGGAATTTGAAAATGGCACTTTTTTCAGTGACTTGTTATCAAGGGTCTTGTTAACACGGTTGTATTACAATCTAGATTTCAAGTGTTCTTACTATACTGTAAATAACTGGGATATTCAAGACAGGGGCTCATTAGGCCTAGAAGCATATTCTATCCTGAATAAATGAAATATATATGTTACACTCAATCTCCGAATTCGGACAATGTCCGAAATTTCTACCCACTCCGCGATGTGGATAGTGTGAAATACCCACGTCGCGGAGTGAGCATTTTATTCGGACATTGGCCAAAGTGAAATGCCCAGACCGCGTTGTGGGTAAATTGATTTACTCAAATGCCGAAGTCATAACGTTCTTCGGCGATTGAGCAAATCTAAAATACCCACAACGCGATGTGAGCAAGAGGGATTGCCCACGTCGGGTAGTGGGTATTTCTAGTTTGTGCAAACACCGAATTTACGTTTAGAAATGTCACCCCCACCATTTGCACTATCTGCGATTAGGATGGACGGACCTCCACCTGCATTGTGTTTTGTTTACTGTTGCTGTCCTGTAGTGATACACACGTGATCAAGTTAATATATGTTCAGTGATTACCTCTTGTGAGATTTACTTTTTCATTTTGATGTCCCCAGAGGCCAAATACACCATTCGTTCAAATTTATACATATATATATATAGATTTATATATATATATATGTCTGTGAACGCGATAACTTGAGTAATTTTTGTCCGATTTTGATGAAATTTGGTTTAAAGGTGTAAAGCGGGATAAACTTGAATGAGTTTGCGAACCAGCATGATCGGACAATGGGCACGGGGCTTTACGGGGGTTTTTATGTGGTAAAAATTTGTTTTTCTCACTTTTGACCCTCAAACCACAACATTTCCCAATTTCTCTTTAGACCTTTTTAAAGAGCTTAAAAAAACGAATAAATAAATAAATAAATATTACTTTATTGTCACATACACAAGAATACATTCCAAGTTTCTAGCGCAGCTAGAGGAACAGGCGACATTGTCAAATATGCATAATATAAAACAAAGAAAACATTCCATAAATCAAAATAGTACTAAAGTATGTAATCAACCTTTAACTTAGGTCTACAATGGAAACTTCATGTACAGTATCGAAACTTAAATTTATTAATTATAATACAAAACTGGTAGTAAAAGAAAAGAAAAGGGTTCACAATAAATTGTACAAACAGTTGGAAATGAATTTACTTTAAAATCTTTAGGCTAGGCCTATTACAATGGTTTTAATTTAGGTTCAAGTGTTATAACTTAATGCAAGGATCTTTATCTCAGGTGGGGTGATCGAGCGGCATTTGAATTTAATCTTGTGATATAAGCTTAGTTAAATTTTGTTTTAAAATATAAAGTATGTTCGAATTATAGATTGGTTGAATTAATAATAGTTCTGAATAAGTTAAGCTTCTATTAGTTCTTGACTTTGAATTTGAGTACAAATGTCCAAAGGTTAGGCCAAAAAAAAATTTAAATGGCTTCCAAAGGGAAAAATGTCTATTGGAATGATCTCACCAAAATTGATGTCTTCTTTGCAGCAAAATTCTTGATGTTATAAATTATTAATGTTCGTAACAAGGATGGGTCTTCTTTCAACAAATTCCACTAATTTTGTCCGAATAATGTACTTTTTTTATAAAATTTTTATATTAAATATGTAGTATCCAATTTACATCTTCATACTATCTTGGCTCTAGAGAATGATTTATAGAGCTATATTATAATTTTGAAAAGTTATTTAAATAAAATTATATTGAATTTGAAGCAATTTTGTTACAAAAGTTATAGGCTATTATATATTTACACGAAATTATGTTATTTGAAAATTTCTATATTATATTGTATTAAATTAATTACATATTGGTCTGCATGGACAATTAATTACTATATATGGTTTGAAAAGGGATTGACATTTAGATAAAATGAAAAAATTATTCTATTAAAAAATATTAGTGAAATTATTGAATTGTTACAAAATCCCCGCAGAAATGGAGTTGTAATGAAATTACTAACGACATTTCGAACTAACAATGAAAATATTTACACTGATTAAAACTGATAACAACACACAAACAAGAAAAAGAAACAATAAATTATTACTTTGAAGTACATGAAAATAACAAAAAGATTAATATCCTAACTAACATAATGAGAGATATTTTAAAAAAAACCACAATATTTAATGGGGTTTCCAAACTATATAGCATAGATGAATTTCAATGTCTTTATTCTTAACTAACTCCTATATTATTTTTATAAATAATTTTCCTAAAATACATTTCTTATGTAATGATTGGTTACTGTTCTATATACATATACATTCATTTTATTGTTTTATGGGAAAAGGGAGGGGAATTGTTTCTATAAGACTGTACACAACACAACAGGCGCGCACTTAGCACAACACTTAATTCTTCAGGCTTAGAGGGAATTTTGATTTGTTGAATCTTGAGGGGTGATGTCTCTTCTAAGGGCAGAGATGTGGAAGGGTCCATATTTGCACTTAATTTCAGCATTATCCCCGCTATCTAGGTACTGATAGACATGGTATGTTTTCTTGGGATCTGGGTATGATTTCTTCTTAAAATTTTGAGGATTTTGAACTTTTAAAGTATGTTTGTAATTGTTGCTAATTCCTCGTTCGTATGAGAAGACATCTTTATACTCTAGTGTTACAGATTCAAATTTAGAACGCTGTTCTTCATTAATTAATTGATTATCGGCAAGAGAACTTTTGACTATCTCTGGTGAAATGCTGCTTTGAGTTTTGCTTGTTTGTGAACTGTACCTATGTGTATTTATTTCATTTGTATTATTATATATTAAATCATCTTCATAATTGTATGTTTCACTTGTATTGTAGTTAATGTAGCAAGATATTCCGTCAATAGTTACCTCTCCAAACTTCAAATTCACATCATTATTATTAATATTTATATTTATTGATTTGTGTTTGAAGTCGATTCGTGCATCCCATAAGCTTAAAACATCTGTTCCCATAATTAATGATCTTACTAGGTGTGGTACAAGCAAAGTTTGTATGTATGTTGGTTGATTATTCACTTCAAATGGCAGCAATAAGATTTTAGATACCCGTTTAGATTTCTCTCTGGTGGCAGTTTTAATGAAAGTATTACTAACAGGTAGTTCTTCAAATTCAGTTAATTTATGTTTATTTTCATTGGTCCGATTTGGTTCACAGGCGCTGAAGATTCTAGAGTGTTGTCGTTAATTGGCAGTGTTGTATACAGACCGGCAGTTTCGACAGCGCCTACCCGTTTAAAGGCAGCTGCCCGCTGTACTGTTGTGTCGTACTATTAGGCAGTCGGTATTGTGAAGGAACTTGCGAAATTGAATTACACATTTGAACTTGCTCTGATGTTGGGTATTCACGGTCATGTATTTTATTCGTGTTATGTTGAGGATTGTGGGTAACGGACATGTAATTCACATTGCCTCGCTGTTGTTGTGGTGGTGGTGGATTTCTTGGTTGCCAACTTGGATTATGTTGGGGCCGGTGGTTTTGATAGTACTGAGATTTTTCTATCTTTGGATTGTAGGTATGGGGATTAGTGTTCTGATAGTGATTTTGAGCTTGAAAGCTGGGTCGATTTTGGTAGTTCCTCCGATTGTTATGGTAGTTGTTAGAATGATCGTTCCGATTTTGGTTATTGTGGGATGGTGATGGACTGGAGTTATTTTTAGGACGTTTCTCTGCGTCGTGTAGATCTTGTCGTTGAAGTAGTGCTTCAAACTCGTAAACACTGCTTGCATTTTGCACACGTCGTGCGTCCTGAATAAGTGGGCAAAAGTGGTCGGACAGAATAGCCACTATTTCCTCTTCAGTCAGCGCTGGAGTGAGGGATCGTAGCGTAATGACTCGTTCAATAAAATACTCGGATCGAGTTAATTTTCCGTCAGGCTTGTAATGTTCGGATTCGATTTTGTGCTTGATTGCCCGTTAAAGATCACGATTCCAATACTTCGAGATAAATTGTGTTTCAAAATCTTCCCATGACTTCAAATCATTCTTTACCAATGAAAACCATCGTGAAGCTTGGTGTTCAAGGCTTGTTTCAAGAATGTCTTTTAAGATTTCGATGGGGTTTTGCTCGGTGCTTTGCCGTGAAAGTAATTTTTGGTAATATCTCTTCAGACGTGTTAGATATTCCAGGGGATTATGGGATCGACCACTGAATTTAGGTAAAGTCAAATCATTGGTTAAGCTTGAACTTCCACAAGTTACATGGATTTGAGGTGTTAGAAAAGCGGTTTCCTGTTTTAGCTTTTGTTCAAGTTCAACTTTAATATTAGTAAATTTAGCTTCTTGTTCGTGTATAAGGTTTATTACTTGGTTAAGTGTTTCTGTTGTTTGCCGAATTGTGTTTTGGTTGTACTCAACTACCGGTACCAATTCATTTCTTATTTCAGTGGTTTTTAAATTTACATAATTTTCTAAATCTGACTTAGTGTTCTGGGAAGTTTCATTGATGTTTAGGGTCAGTTTGGTTTCAATTTTGCGACTTTCGTCAGTGATGATTTGATTGGTCTTAATGCGTTCATTGGCTACGATATTGGACACTTCTTTTCTAATTTCGTCATTCTGTTTATACACCTTTTTAATGATGTTGTTTTCAATTTGTTGTAATTCTAAAGTATGTACTTGTTGGATAGCACGGATTTCGTCTAGTTCCTTATGCATATTGTTTGGATTTTCTGCTAAAGTGTCAAATTTAGTAGTTAATTCATTTTTAACCTCGTTTTTGACATCATTTAGGCCCTTATTAAGTTTGTTTTCAACA